TGCATCTGCCTATCAAGGACAAAGGTTTGCATTCCATCCAAACTTTTTCCACAAAGTTTTTGTCTGGTGTTGGATTTTGGAGTGTTTTCTCAAAATTACACAGTTTTTTTTTTTTTTAAATAACACAGCTGGAAATAACTGTTGGAATCAGCGTATTTTCTTTTCTTAAAAATAAAATAAAATTGTCGAGACCCGTCTTTTTCTGGAATGAGAAACCATTGTAAGCACATAAAATAATTTCATTTTTTATTTTTTAAGATTTTTTTATAATAATACATTAAAACAATAAAAAATCATAAAAAAATAATCTAAAATCATAAGATTTCTTTAAGATTATAGTGGTGATTATAATTTAAAGTATTTTTTATTTAAAAATATATTAATAAAAAATCATAAAAAAATATCTAAAATCATAAGATTTCTTTAAGATTATAGCGGTGATTATAATTTAAACTATTTTTTATTTAAAAATATACTAAAATAATGTTTTTAATTTTTAAAAATTATTTTAAAATTAGCATATTAAAATAACCTAAACATATAAAAAATTAATTTTTAATAAAAAATATTTTTTTATTTCTAAAGAGTTCCTACATAGTGTTTTTGTTTCTTGTGTTTCATAAATTGATATTGTGATAATGATTGTTTTTTAAAATATTTTTTTTTTATTTCTAAAGAGTTCCTACATAGTGTTTTTAAAGTACTTATACTATGTTTCTAAAGAGTTCCTACATAGTGTTTTTGTTTTTTGTGTTTTATAAATTAATATTGTGATAATGATTGTTTTTAAAATATATTAAAATAATATATATTTTTAAATTTATTTTTGATATTAGTATACTAAAAAAATATAAAAATACTAAGAAAAATATAATTTAAAGCAAAGAAAAAAATAAAAATTTTAATTTTTCAAAAACATTTTTGAAACTAAAAAAACACAGCTCTAAAAATATTTTTAATTTTTTAATTTTATATTATTTTTTTATGATTTTTGATTTTTTTAATGTATTAATATAAAAAAAATCTTAATAAATAAATAAATAAATTATTTTAATGCTTTTTAAAATAAAAATATTTTAAAAAACATCTTTTAATGTATTGATATAAAAAAAATCTTAAAAAATAAATAAATAAATTATTTTAATGCCTTTTAAAACAAAAACATTTTAAAAAATAATTGCTCTCATATTAAAATTCTATTAAAATTCATTCTTTTATTTTATTTAATAGAGTAGATGTGCGGAGAAAACCGTGCAAGCATTTACTATACTTATTGAAAAGAAAGCATGAATAAAAGACTGAAAGCATTTGCTCGGTTTGGGTAATCTTTTTTTATTAATGACTTCGCTATCATAATCTCAGACACCTATAAAACATGGTTTATTTTTTTCATTAATTTAAAATAATTTTTTATTCCAACATGTGAGCATTTTTTTATGTTTATATACTATATTTGATTTTAAGATTTAATTTATTTTTTTAATTTATTTTTAATATTTTTTTATTGGAAAAAATTAACTTAATATATTTTTTTATTTTTTGTTGGTATAAAAAATATATAAAAAATATTATTTTAACTAAATTTATTTTTTCACTAAACACCCTTCGCATTACCGAACACACCGTATCATTTACACGTCACGTGCGGTTGTCCATCAAAGCACAAATTTGCTTCGAGAGGAAACGTTTTCGGGATCAAAGGTTTCTCAAAAGATATGCAAGTTCGAAAAATGTAATCTTGATATGCTGTTAAAAGCAAAGGTTTTTATTTTTTTTATTTCTCAAATTATTTTTCCTATGTGATGCTTTTCCAAAACTTATTTAAAAGATACTTTTTTTTTTAATATAGATTTTGATTGAAAATGGTCCAAAAATCACTTTCTTACGAGGATTAACATGCCTTTCAACACGCTGTCTCATTACTTCAAAAGCTTATCAAGTCTAACTTGATTTTAACTTCACAAATTCTCCATTATCTACAGTGATGAAACGTTCTTATTTATACTTGGAACAATCCCTCCAAGCAAGGAAAACAACAAAACCTACACTCCTATGTCTAAAGACGAAGTTTAAACTAGCTAGCTTCCAGTAGGTCATGGAATCTTCGAGGTAGCAGATTTTCAACATAGAATCCCTCTCCATCTGCACCTAGTCTAAGTTGTGGATATTGTATCACGAAAAATCGAAGCTACTTCATTGACTATGGAGGCGTCTCCACATGCATGTGACCTTCAAATAACAATGCCAAAAGCTTGATGTAGCGTTTGTTGGCAAAGGAGGAAGAATTATGCAAGTTAAAGTTAATGCTGGGGAGAGATTTCGGATTTCCTGACAGCCCTCACACTTGAGAGTAAACCATAGCTCTCTCTAGGAATATCCAGTTCATGCACCGTTTGAAGCGATAGGGACAACACACATTTATCTTTCTACTGTTGTATGATTTGTCATGTGGTTTGCTGGGAATCAATACAGTTTTGCTTTTGAACTCGTCACTAGTTAGGATAATCCTCTGTTTTTAAGAACCCTTTCAGCCCTTAACCATCTCTTAGCATTTTTTCAAGCCAACTGCATCTGAATCTTTGGGATTCAAGGTCAGCTCCAGAGTCAGAATTCCTGACAGTGCTAAAAAAAACACAACAAATATCTTCGCAAGTTCCCATTTATTTAGTTTCAGCTGCAAAATTCAATGGATGATTATTTTTCTTCATGTTTCCGCGCGTATTTCTCAGTAAAAGTAAATTCATCGATGATGGAGGTCTGATTCTCGTGGTTATTTCTCAGTAAAGTTACATGGAGGATTCTATCTTGTTAGCCGGCGATAATCCCGTTATTTCAAATTTCTTATTGTCTCTTGCCCCTCCTTAAGTAGAAGTCACATGGAGGGATCTCTTCCATAGACTGAGGCATCATCAATGCGGCCCAAAATACGTTTCCTTAGTGTAATGACAGTGTGTGTGTTGACAAATCGGCATCTTTTCTTTGAGAGCCACCAGGAGTGGATGTTCGGTCTCGTATAAGTTCTTGGTCGGGATGTCTTTGGGCAATACCGAACTCTGTTGACCTCTTGTTTCATCCGTGGAAGGCCTTCTGCGTGCTGTTCTATCGCCTGGACCCATAGATTAAAAGTGGACTAATCCAGTCAAAATCAGAGCTACAACATCGTGGGCGAAGCCTCCTCTAGGTTCTCTTAAATGGAATGTTGATGTTCTGTCGCTGGGGAAACTGAGGACGGCAGGTATTGGGAACATCCTTAGAGATTCGGAAGGGATTTTCCTCTTTTTCCTCATGCTGCATGGGTGTTTTGGAATCTAATGTGGCTGAAGCTCATGCGACAAAAAAGGCTATGGATCATTTAGCCAAGCAGAGTATAGATAGAGCAGGGGAGTCTATAGCTTGGCTATGACTGCTGCTACTTTCATCTTTGCTGTCCATTTTTCTGCAGTTTGCCCTCACCTTTCTTGGTGGTGACAGATCTCTTTCAATATTAATAAATTTTATCGATTCCCCAGAAAAATAAGAAAAGAAAGGGCGCTTGCGGACACCGATGAGCACCCATAAAATTAAGTCCAGGTATCAGATTCACATCAAGGTAGTTACTCTCCACCACTGAGCAAGTTATTAACCCAATCCAGAGTTCTTCCTCAAGTTCCTACACGTTGCAAAGCCAACAGAAAATGTTGAAAAATTTGAAGTTGTCTTGGACTTACTTCCCATGTTGAAAGAAAACCAAAGCTTTGAGGTAATACAGATGAGCAGTTCTCAGTTTTCCTTTGCTTCATGAGACACGACATGCATACGAGTTGAAGATGTACCACTGCCGCGAAAAAACATTTCCGAATGCCCACATCAGGATTAAATACTATAAAAGATCAACCAAAGTAAGCGCAAAGACATGATAAAAAGAGACTTCAATCAAAAGTTCGATCACTTCAGGATCCCCATTTCTCTTTCAATGACAGAATGCCCACTACAGTGACTGGTCATGGGCAAACCACGCCTTCTAGCATAAGAACATCCTTTAACAAAATTCAAGACTGCACTTGATTGAACTGGCATTTTCATCACAATAACCTTCATAAACCTCAGAAAAGTGTTAGATCTTTTAAAGAAACAGACTTGACCTCTTGAACTACTGTAATGATTGATTCAGTCACCCGTTTCTGTTGGGTCTTCAGAACCTCTCGTCAAAGACATTGGAATCTCAGTTAAGCCCGTATTGGTCCTGTTGACAAGTTGTTCATCGTCATGAAATAGCAATAAACATGGAAATGATTAATAAAGGTAAGGCAAGGAAATTTACTCTGCCAAGACCAGTAACTCATGCAAGACTTTCTACTTTTAAGGTGGTCTAGAAATGTGGCCATGACTGGAGTAAACTTGCAAGCATAATTACAGAAACTTAAATCAGATGCCAAAACTATGATTCTCAGGTGATGAAAGTATAACCACCACCTTGGAGTTGACAGGGTGAATGAGTTTTAATCATATATTCTTGTTTCAAGATGCGAATAACTATAGAATTTGATATTAACAGTAGTCTCGGATCACTAAATCTGCAAGTAAGAAACTCTCAAGTACCTTGAGTGGGAAGTCAAACCTGAGCAAGGAATTATGGGACTCAACATTTTGGAAGAAAGCAAGTAAATTAAATGTCTAAACTTGCCTAGACTTGCCTAGAGTGCATCAATTTTAACAAACAGTAAATTTAAGGCACTGTTTTGACTAGAATTCGCAAAGGATTACCTCAGCACTTGTTCTTCTCCTGCAGCAATATGGTGGAGTGAAACGAAACTTGGATTGTATGCAATCGCATGAGTATCCTCCATATTTTCACATTTGATAATACGCCCCCAAGGCCTAAATTTTTCTATATTGTAACAGTCCACTAATTCTCCATCGAGTAAAATTAAGATTTTCCCTCTTCGCAAGAGAATTAACGGTTCATGAGAAATAAAATGGTGATTGTCGGGTTTAAACAGAATCTGTTTGGACCAAGACTCTTAGACACCATACTCGTTCACAACCCATACGTAAATTTCATAAGGAGCATCCCACTTACGTACAGTCACAGACAAACAATCCTTCAAAACCCCCAACCTTATGAATCCATCCAAATTTCCATCACAGATAGAAGGTGCCGGCAATCTCTTGAACTGCTCACTTTCAAAGTCGAAAGAGCAGATACACTCCAAACTTGTTTCATTACGGGCCCAGTGGATGCAACCATGCAGAGAGGTATTAAAATCCAGTCCTCCAATGCTGAAACCATTTGCTACGCTTCTCCAATGTCCTGTCTTAATTGTGTATATTTCAGCCTTAGGGTACTTATGCCGATCATTTTGATAAAAAGTCCACAGCACTTTGTATTGATTGCCAGTGGCACTACATCCAAGAACAAAATAGTTGCCATACAAACATGTTTTTTGATCATCCACATGGATTTCGATGTGCTCACATAAAATTGGATTGCAAACATGAATAACATTGCGGAATTCACCTCCTGATAAGCAAAGCAGTCCATTACAAGAATTCATCAACTCAATATTTGCTGTGGCTGGTAAGTTGGTTTCAGGAACAAACTCCATTCTCTCAACCTTGAAAGTTTAACCAGTTTCCTCAATCCGGAATAAACGGAATATACTTGATATGCCTCCTTCAGGCAAGGCTTTGATCAAGATTCCAGGGGGGAATCTTGAAAGGTGGGAGATGGCCAAGTCTTGCAAACGCACCGGAAGCTCAAGATGGTCTTCACGGGAAATCTTGATAGTATGTCAATCATCACATCTGCTGAGAGCTTGGCGACTATGGTGTTTGACACTTCTTCTTTCGTATCAAAGTTTTCTTGCATAAAGGGACAAGATAAGGTAAACTTTGTTTCAAGAAGAGGGTTTTTGGAGCTTAGGCTGTTTGCTTGTTTATCTAATGTTGTGATTCACAAGTCTCTCACTGCATGCGCATATATTTAAGCAAGAGAAGCCTGAGGAAGTTGGTGGGGTTTTGGAGAGGAGTTAGAGAAATGAATGCAAGATGAGTGGCCATACTTGAAGAATGAAGCTGAAGAAGGAAAGAAAAAACGCAATGAATGGGTTGAATCGTCAAGGCTTGTGCGTGAAAGGAAGAAGAAGAGAAGAGTTGGCAATCCTGGTTCAGTTTTGAAGTTTGTTGAAGCTATATAATGATCGCCTCAGAACAGAGAATTTGACTCAAGAAGATGGATCAGATTGAGCATATTTAAGGTTTGAGAGGATTTCATAGCGCCAAACTCTTGGGCTTGAGATTTGGTTTATAGATTGAGTTATTATTATCCAGCAATGGCATATTACGCAGCAATGGCATAGGTAGGGTCTACCTGGGTCTTTTATTAGTATTTAGTTTATTGAAAAATCATAATGAAGTTGAAATTAGAGGTGTAATCAGAGCAAGCTCTTGATTCATACAGACCATGCAAGAGGATAAACTTTCTGAACAAAAAAGAGAAAAGATATAACGAGTATTTACCGACGAGTATCTCGTTAAATCATTGTACCCGTAAAAATATTATTATCAAGTAAAATAATATGATATTTGATATTTAAATAATTAATTTTAATGTAAATAAAAGATTATTAGTGTATATATCCTGTAGTTAATTAATTGAATATATATTACTGTATTTATATAAATATATTTAATTTATTAATAAAAACTTATTTATTTTTAATATTCATCAAATATTTGATTAATGAATCTAGAATAAAAATAATTTAAAAAAAAATTGCAAAGAAAATTATAAAATTATAATTATAAAATTTTTATTGCATCAAAGTATTATTATTAAAATATTTATTGTCAATGCTATATTAATATTGGTTATTAATTAGAGCTATTAAGATTAATATATATATATATATATATATATATATTTTATGAAAAGAAACAACTATTTTCATAAGCTAAGGTATAAGAGATACTTAGAATTAATATACAAGTATTTGTAATATGACATGTTTACTGAATTGACTTGCATCATAATTCAATATGGAGATATTATTTATGTTTATAAAAAATTTTAAATGATAATTATATAAGTGATTCTTTATTTTTAAATTTTATAGAGTCTCGTAATGCTTTTATTTTGAGCATATGACTCTAATGTTTTCTTCTATGTTGTTTTATGTAGGCTTGTTTAAGCTGTGATGATATGAAATATGCAAGCTTAAAAGAATCTCCACCATAACTGATATTTATTTTTATAGGAATAATATTTTTTTTTTGTAGTAAGCCATGATAACATTATTAATGCATCAATTGAACTCTCTTAGTAGGAATAATGAATTTATTTCACTTTTATTTTATTTTAGTTATGTTATATTAATATTTATTATTTGACTAAAATTATTAATATATAATTAATTAAAATATTTTATTTATAATTTTATGATTTTATAATTCAACTTTAAAATCCAAGTTTGTATATTTCATGTTATGTTAAAAAATATTTTTGACAACCTGAATCGACACCTTAACTTTTTCTTCTACTGTGATTTATTTTAAAACTCTTTCCATTAACTCTTTCTTTTTATGAGAAGTGAAACACATTTATAATAACATTCATTTGTAAGTTTAATATCCTCCTTCAATTTCTAAATTTTTAACAATAAAAACATTCAAATCAATTTATGTAACTTAACTAAACTCATTTAAAATCATTTCCTTCACAAGATTATAAATTAATCTGTCATAATATAACTTAACTACACACAATTCTATTATATAAAATTTGGTTCCTCATTGGCCAGCCATTGGACCTTTAAGAACCCTATGATTTTCTTCATTATTTCTATCAATTTCATCACTCAACACAACTTAATCTAACTTAATTTGTAGTCAATTTATATTTCTTTTAAATTTCCTAAATTCAACTTCGATTGTAATTCATTTCATGCAAACTTGCTGGATTAGGTTTAGAACTTCTTACCAAACAATAATTTAGTTTTCGAATCTCAACCAATCAAAACTTTTTGCGTTCCTTTTTTTTTCCTTGTCTTTCTTCACCTTCTCTCCTATACTCAATCCCCTCTCTCTCTTTCTATCTTTCTCTTTCTATGATTTTTTTTTTAATTTTTAGTATGAATGTGTTTTCCCTTCCAAAATCATCTCTTTTCACTTCTAAACCTTAACCTCTGCCTTTCAAAATGAAAGAAAAGAAGAAAAAGTAAAATTATTATTTTCCCTTTTATTGCACCCGTCAGGTAATACCAAGGATAGTAGTCAAAATGGTCTGACCATTTTGAAAATGGTCTATCTAATTTATGTAAATCAGTCTAGCTGTTTCTCAAAATAGCTAGACTGTTTTTGCTATTGGAAAAATTTATATTTTCAGCCAAAAACTCTTTTTTTTTTAAATTTTTATCTTCTTATCATTTTTTTCTTATCATTTAATATTTTATTTCATTACACCATAATTTCTATTATATTATTATTTATTTATTTTTCCAGGGGTTTACATTCAAAGTGTAGTAAGAATTCATTAATATTCTAAAATTCTTTTGTTATAAGAATTTCTTATTTATTCTAGCTACACAAGGAAAAAAAGACTAGTGATATTTAATAATAGATTAGTTTCTGGGATAATTGAGTTATAACTGAAATAATAAAAATAAAACTCATAAGTTATTTTTCTATGTTGTTGTGAAAAAAGAAGAAAACAAAACAAGTATAATATAAGGTATATTTATAGCCTAAGTTTTTTGGGCTTATAAATTTGCATTGTTACTCGTGAAATCATAATCATAGTTTTGTTTTGTTTGTTTTCAGTATATTTATTGATTTTTAAGTCTATACTTATAATTCAATTGCGTTGTAAAAGTCATTGACTTTGGTTCATTAATTTTCAGTTCCGAAAGAATTGCAAAATGGTGAACCAAAAGATAAAAGGCGTAGTGAGAAAAATTTAGCAAAAAACCTTGAATTGTATGAAACATGATAGTAAGGATATATTTTTCCTGGCATTAATAGTTTTTTACATATTCAAAGATGTTTGAAAATAACAACTCTGTGACAATGAAAGTGAATAACACCTTTTAGATGCAAGCATTCACTAAATAACTTGAGTTGCCAACTAAGGTGATAAAAGGAGTTGAAAGATGATATGGATTCAATGAAGCAATAAAATAGTGGGGCTGATCGTAGGAGATTGAATATGAGTAAGGAAGAGAAATGAAGGTTACAAGTTTCAATTATTTATGATCATAATGCTTCTATGAGGTTAGATAAAGAGCACAAGGTTGAACGACTTACAAAGATTTATAAAGAAACTAATAAAGAACGTGAAAAATAGGGAGCATTATTTCAGCACTAAAAAGATAAAAAAAGAAGGAAAATAGTGGTTATCATTCAAAAAAATATATGTAAGTTAATGGCAAGACATGCTTATGTGAAATTATTATCAGCTATTATTTTTATACAATGTTGTTGGAGGCAAGTGTGTGTATAAAAAGAACTTCAAAGACTTCAATAAGAGTCTAAAGAATTGTCTATTAAACCTATTAAGATTTAAGGATGAATCATCTTGGAGAGATAGGGAATGAAACGATTCAAGTAAGGTCAGATTTGGATTTGGCATAAAATTTCCTACCGTTCTATTTTACACTATTGAGTATAACTTTAAATTAGACCGTTGTATCAACTAAAACTTTACCAGAAGATTCCAAAGATATGTTTCTATGTTACGGTGAAATGCCAGGTAAATTGATATTTGGAAAGGAGTTCTAATATAGGTCAAAACAAGTTGTATGAATTTTGTTATTTATTTCCTTTTGATTTGTGAACTTTCTATTTCACAAGGATCCTTTTTCTATAAGGTTTTGACAGCTTGTATTGAAAATTTTTTAGTTCTATAAGAATCTTTAATGGGCTGCAATATAATTTTCATTAATGTTCTTACAAGAATTTCTTATTCATCCTAACTATATAAGGAAAGAAGGGATAGTGGTATTTAATGAGAGATTTATAGGATAATTAGGCAGTATTGTAGGCTATAAATAAACCTTATGCCAAACTTGTATTATTTTCTTTTCATTTTCTCTTCTCAGAGTAGCATAGAGAATTAACTTATGAATTTTATTTTTGTTATTTCAACCATTAACCAAGGCTTCTTTGGGTCTAATTAATATTTTGTTTTCAGCTAGAATCCAAGGCTTGTTTGGATCAAGGTTTGAGCTTATTAGTATAGGTTTTGGGTCAGTTTTGTAAGGGGATTAATTCAGCCCACAAGGGTATATCCATTAAGGTTAATGTTTTAGAAGTACTTAAATCTTGTAAGCCTAAGTTTCAAAAAACTTTTGATTAATAAGACTTATAAACTTTTGAGTTTAACATACGAGAGAGATTCTTGTATTTTTTTGTTCTTTAACAAACTGAATTTAACTTATCAAAAATCAATTGGCTTCATAGCATCATTTGACTTCATTCGAATAATATTGATGCCTTAGGATATGTTTCTATTATGTCACACTCATTTCAGATCTCTTTTGGCTTTCTAGGATTAGATTTCAATCTTAATTGTGGGTTGCGTGATTACAAGGTTTGCGTCACAAGTCCAAGC